GTACAAATAGAGAACAAAATTAAAAACATTAAGTAATAGGTGATAATATTATCCGGATCGTTTATTTATGCTATTTCTAAATTCTAATAGAAACTGTAGATTGTAGAATCTAGTATGAATTGACAAAAAACTTGTAGATTGATTAATAAAATCAAAACAATTTTTTTTTTTTTATCCAGATAAATAGTGTTTTATCTTTTATCTTTATCTAGATACATTTTTAGTTATCTTTGCGTAACACATGTTACACGGAAATAATGGAAAACATTATCTCGTCATTTATAAAAAATAATACCATTTGAATAAATTTAAGATCGGGTATTTTTTAGGCATTTTCGTTTGTTTTATACGAGATACACACGTACGGTTTACACAGTTTTTCCACGTGCCGTATAGAATGACAGAACGGCGAAAATAACGCTGTGACAACGTTTCTTAAGACGTAATTATCTGAATTCAAGGCGTACCCGTCCTACTACTGCAATTTCATTTATTCGCTTCTACATTATATTTGAATAGGTGTGTATTGCTCCGCGACAATGTAGCACGTGGAACCGTTAAAACAATATCATATCGAAAACGCCGAGCAAACACAAATTTATTGCAAGCAGGACCCACAATATAATGTTCGACAATCGTCGAACGGGTACGGAAAAAAAAAGCGCTCGTTATAGATAAGACGCGTTCGGTGTCGGAAATCGTATTATAATATGACGTGCGAAAAATATACCGTTACACGTGTGAACGTGAAAAACTGGCGAAATCGTGTCGATAAAATATCGACCGACGACGGCGCGTCCCGCGGAGATACGTACCCGTCGCGACGCATCCCGAGATAATGAACACAATCGAATTCCGTTCTCTTTTCAATAACCTCGCTCGCGGCGTACTCCGCGCCAGGCGCGTTGTCGCGTTATTGCGATGCCCGCCAAAACGTTTTGTTTCGTTTGCCGCGCGCGCGCGCGTTTTGTACCGCGGCGAATAATCACCGCGATTGGCCGATTTTGCGGACGGCGTACGCGACCCGCGGCGGTTATCCATAAGCGCATCCGGTTGCGCGAAAAATACTACGGTACCGCGATACCGGCCGAAAACGGTCCGCCCGAACGCGTTTCGTTCGCCGGCGCGCGCGGGTCTCTCGCGGAACCGCGCGTCCGTTGTTACGATTACCGAAGCCGCCGGCGGTTGAACGGCGCGACACCGTGCCGCGTACACGGTGAAAACGCGGCGTTTCGTCGTCGTCGGACGCGTGTGGACGCGACGCTGCAACGTCACCGATCCGCGTCGACAATATCGCGTCGTTGTTGTTATACGGGCGGCGGCGCGACGTTATTGAATCCGCAAACGCGCGGTGATCGAGTCGTTGACCCGGCGGTCCAGACACTGTTTTAATATGCGACGGCGGCCGGCGAGATAACAGTTCACGGAATAATAGGTAATAACAATTATTATTGTTCGAACGACCGCGTCGCGTTCCCTCCTTTCGCCGCACGCCGCACCGATGCGAGCGCGCTACGGAGCACTCGCGGACGCGGTTTCGGGACGGGCGTCGAGCGGCGCGGGAGGCGGAGAACGGGGAAAATGTCGAAAGAAAAGACAAAAATTTAAAAAAAAAAAATGGAAATTCTGCCGGGAAAACGACCGTCTTCACTGCGGGGCGATTAACCGCCGCGACGAACCCGTAGACAAACGTTTAACCGTACACATAATATACGCACGTCCCCGTATTGTTTTACGCGCGGTCTTCCCGTCTCGTGACGACTTTTCGACCCTCCGTCACATCGCGACAATCGGTGTTACGACGGCGATTACAATCGCACCGAGTGTGACGTTACGGCGTACCCGTGCGCACTGTGAAACGGGCAACCGTCGGGGCGACGGCGTTAAAATTGCCGGTTTTTCGCCGAAAATCAACGGTCGAACGTTCCGGAACCGAACGGTCGTGCGGCTGTTATTATTGCCGTCGGGCGGCCGCTCGCCCCGCCGCGCACGGCGACGTGAATATTTTAACCGCTCGCTCGCCGTCGCCGACGCGGAATGACGACGCGACGATAATATCATAATTATTATCATTGTTGCTCGTAGATTCGTGCGGCCGAACAATTATCCGCCGTCGCAATCGTCCGCGATCGTCTGCGAGTCGCACGCCGAAACGGACGATGAATTGGCGCGGACGTGGGGGGGGGGGTTCAGCGCCCCCGCCCCCTCACCGCCGGAATTCGGCAGACTTTTCGGCGCCCGATCGGCTCCTCGTCGAGCGCTGTAATGTACGCGATCGACATTTAACAGGGTGGGGGGGGGCGGCGGGAGACTTGATTGGTTTGTTTTGGCGTAATACTATTATTATCGTACCCCGGCATATTTAATAAGGGGTGGGGAGGAGGGGGTGTGCGCGTAAGCAATTTATCGACTCGAAGCGATTGGCTTTCGAAACGAAATTCGCACGTCGTCCCGTGTCCGTGACAGTTATATTACTGACGGGGTCAGCGGATAAAAAGTTTTTTAAATTAAAGAGTTTTTTTTTTTTGGTAATGAAATTGATATTATTACGTTATTCGACTTGTTTCGACGGGCGTATTACGCGTATTCGAAAAGACAACACGTTATTGTAATATCGACATAGGTGTTGGCATTGCATGATTTGTTGTTTTCGTTTTGTGGATGATAAACGTGTTATAAATACGTACGCTGAACGATTTCAAACGCGTTTGCTAACACCTCTGACCGCTTTAATGTATAATTTTATCGGTAAGCGTGTGTAGGACGCGAATGCAAAAATGTATAATTTTTTTTTGCAAATTACCACTATATACGATTAGAAAAAAAAAAAAATCCGGAACGTCGGTCATAACCGCTTCCCCTTTGTACGGCGATTCGTCTCCAAGCGCATTCGCCCGCACCGTTGTTCTTTCGTCGCTTTTAAAACCGGCGAAAATCGCGTCGCAGCGCGAGACCCGCGAGATAATCGCGCGATAATTCGACCGTCGACGTTGCGTCGCCGACGATACACTCGCGTACTCGCGAGATGATTTTATTCGCCGATAGAAAAAAAAAAAAAAAAAGCCGGAAACTACGCCGGCGACACCCCCTCGGCGGTTTTAACGGCCGCGGAGATGGCGCACGTACACGGGCGCGCGGTCGCGGACGGCTAATAACGGCCGCGGTACCAATAAGACGGCGTAAACGATGTGCGACGCCGTATCGCGCGCGTCGTGCGAAACGCGCGGTCGAGTCGGCGGCGCAAACGTCCGGTAAATGGACCGCACTTCCTGCGCGCCGAGCGCAGATACGGTTGTAAGGGCGCGTGTTTCACACACGCACACACACGCACACACGCACACGCGGGGACCGGAAAGACGGCGCTGATCGATGTCGTGCGCGCGTGTGTGCGGCCGCGTAGTAATACGTGTCGTGTTGCGGAAAGGAAAAGGAAATGCAACGGCGGCGGCGACGTTTGGATTCCGGACAAAAGATGTTGCGCGAGGGTCGAAACGACTGTCGGTAGTGGGTTCGCGCGGGGGACGAGAGATGGGTGTGTTCGTATACGCCGGCGGCGTGTCTGCGGTGTCGCATTGTTTAGCCGCTGGCTGCCGCGGCGGACGACCCTTCCTCCGCCGCCGCCGGCAGGGCCGCGGGACCGCGGGACGAGGACGGCGGCGGCGGCGGCGGCGGCGGCGGCGGACGCGGCGTGCAAATGTCGGAGTTTTCCTGGACAAGCGGCTGACCTCTTCAAATAATCAATAGCCCGCACCGCCACACGTCCTCCCGCACCACCGCCGCCTCCTCCGCCGCCGCCGCCTCCTCCGCCGTGTATATACCGTCACCATCGTGTATATATAAATATACACACACACGCATACAGTCGAGGGAAACACAAAAACCGCCGCGTGGGGAGGTGCGGATGCGGGTAAGGAGGGACCGGAGCAGTCATCACCGCCGCCGCCGCCTGCCGCCACAACTATACTATTACTACCGCCACCGCCGCCGCCGTTTCTTCTTGTGTTTTCCCGCGCGTAGTCTTTTTCGCCTCGTACACGCGGTTCCCCGCGCCCCGGCCGCGCGCCGTCCCCGGCAACGTGGTCCGCGGCCGTCGCGGTGTTTACTCGTCCGCACATCGTCCGGCCGGCGTCGCGGTAATTTTTCGCGCGGTCCGGGCCGCCGTGGAAAAGATTAAAAAAAAAAAATTAAAACCACGGGGAATTTTTCGTTTTTCGCCCGCGGCGCGGTTACAATTATTCCGCCTATTGTTTTCGTAATTTTCTACGATGACAATAATAATAGTAACACTCGAACGACGTTTTATTGTCTCGTCTGCTTGTCATCGTTGTTATTATTATTATTATTATAATCGTTTACGGCCACTCGTGGCCCACGCGCGCCGTCACGACTCAAATGAATTATCATCACTCCGCGCGCGCGTGTTCGTACGCGAAACCGACGTAATTTTTAGACTTCTGTACGACAATAAAGTCTTAAGTCCTCTAATAAAACCCGCGTACGCGCGGGGCGCCGGTTTATAATATTCTCAAAAGACAAAAAGCTTTAATAAAATCCAAACAATAATCCGTAGCGAAACTTTCCGTCTCTTATCACGACTGCAGACGCTTCTCATTTTTTTTTATTTTTTTTTTCTTTCGCGCAAAACCTTCTCTCGTACGTTCGCGAAAACAGCGCGTGCACTTGTCGTAAGTTCGATATCACAATAATAATAATATTTTCATTATTATTGCACCACGCGGATGCCGTGCAGCCAGAAAACGGCCGAAAGACCGTACAGCGAAAACACTTTGTCTCGCAAAAAACGTAAATCTATCGTGTCGCGCGATTCGTTTAAACGAATAAATAAACACATCGGTAAAGAAAAATTAAACGGAATCCCGTCGGAAAACGGAGTGCCCGATTAATAAAACCGAAATAATGCCCGAACGTAACCCGATTAATAAAACGTTACAGCTCTGTACAACAGCACCCGAAAATTGAAGACGCCCGTTGAGGATTTTGTACGGTGTTGTGGGAAACGCAATTTCGTCTGTCCGAAATCGTACGAAATCGAATGTCCATAATACCGCGAGAGCTCGATTTGTCGTTTGTTATTCGCGGCGATGTTTTTCGGCAGATGGGATAACGACGGGTTTCAAAGTTCAACCTGCACGTTACAAGATGGATCGCGAGTTTTGTTATTGAAAAAATGTAATTTAAATTTTGTTTTTTTTTTTTTTTAATTTCTTTAATAGGTCAAACTCCCATAAATATATTCATCGCCGTAATACCGTTATTCGTGTACTGTAAGGTTACTGTTTTTTTTTTTTTTTTTTTTTTTAGTCTGATGGTTTTCGAATCGAATTTTCATTACGCATACCTAATTTTATTTGTTTGTATTTATTCTTCGCGCGATTCGTTTTAATCAACGGATTATTACCGATGCAACTTTTTCGACGATGAACCGCGCCCGCGAAGTAATACGCAACTCGATAACGGATTTTACAATAATAGCGTAGTTTACACGTGAAAAGCGACACTCGCTGGCGTTTCGAAAACATAAAATAGGCAGTAAAAAATGTTAATAAACAGTTTTTCTCGCCGAGAGTTCGTGGGCCCCGTAAATAAATCAAAACCGTTACGCGAGGTATTGTTGAATGTTATTGTTTTGCTGCAGCTCGTCCGCGCATATAAATGCAAATTCGAAAAACGCGGACGAGCTCTTATATAATATCCGGTTTAATATTATTACTGTAGGCGTGACGGAACCGAACGAAACAAATCCGTTTGCGTTGAAAACAACAATACGTAAAAAGCCGGACCGCACTTCACTACGCCGTCGTCAATAGATCATCGCGCTTGTAATGCGTAGACAGCTTTGAAAACGGTACAGGACAATACGCATTTCGTTTGTGAACTGAAAGCGACGATAAATCGCTGCAATCAATAGCAGAATTTTTGAAACATACTTTCAAATACCGAAATCGATAAAATAAATTTAATTTCACATGTCTCCCCGTTTCCACCGCCGCGCCGTTCCTATTACAGTTCGCCATTGTTACCGGGTAATTTATCTTTTAAAAAGGGTAAACGTCGTTGCCCGTGACAACAAAATCAACTAACAAGAACTGTTTGCTTTTTTTTTTTTTTTTCAATATTTCATTTGTCACCAAAGTAACCCGTAAACTCACGAAATTCAATTTTCCTATTATAAAATCTAAAACCATCCCATATAGTGAGAGCGACCCTCTAAGGGTAAACATTTAAAAATCCGGATTTAATGTGCTTCCGAACACGTTTCCGCACCGCGTTTCTACGTGAATATTTTCAGAATTTTGAGTGCGATAGACCCATCGTTATTATTGATAAGATAAATATCAAAATACGTAAATCGAGTAGAAAGATTTTTTTTTTTTTGAGAATATTAAGAGTTATACAGTTATACGAAAAAAATTCAGTACTTATGGTCGGTATACGTATGTATCGATAAAACGATATTACAGTCTTCTACAGTCTACTATGTATATGTAAATTAATACGGCGGAAGACTCGCGATGGAGAAAAGTTCATCGACAAATAAAACGTTACCCTGCATCGCGTGCACGTTGCCCGAGGAAACATCGTCATTCAACAGTTGTTGTTGTTGTTGTTATTGATGTTGTTGTTGTCGATCTTTTCGTGTAATTTATAGTACATATGGCAAAAACTTTTTTCGTTTCCATAACCACGCTGTTACTCGTGTACTATTTTTTTACACTTGCAATTTTTCACGCGAACCGCACGTAAAATCGCGACCTGCAGGACACGTGAAACACCAAAACGATATATTTTTTATAGTAAAACGTGAAACTATGCACTACTGCGGGAATTTTTTACGGGCCGAAATTTAACACTATAATATTTACAGTCCTTAAAAATCTCCCGGTAATTCGAAAAAAAAAAAAAAAACGTATTTATAGCTTATAACCCACGCACTCTCATTTCTTATCCGAAGACGAAGATTATTTCAGTCCGTCAGAGTTTTAACCTATAAAACTAATGTACATATACAAATACAACGGTTTGTGTATATTTCTACAGCGCAAAAAACACGATTAATATAATACTCCACTCAGAATTGTTTTTTCGTTTGCGATGATTTACCGTTGCAATGTATAGATCAAATTACCCTGTATAATGTATGCCCAACGTTATATTATAACCAACAATATAGCAGTGACTATTTTAAGATTAAGGGACACGGGGATGCTAAAAATTGCACGAAAAATGTTCTAACATATAGCATTGATATTATTTAGATAGGATTTTTCTAATGCAATGTGCATAATATTCGTATACATTTTTAAAAAGCGCCGCGTTTTAAAGCTTTCGATCATTCGGGATGAAGAAATAGCATAAAGTCACATTAAGGATATAATAGTACTAGAGAATAATATTAACTTACTATGGCTTTAAAATACAAAAAAGCCACACGGTTTCCCGCGAAAAACAAAAAAAAAAAACAAAAACAAAAGTTTATTGAAAATGTTGATTATATAAATAATATATGTGTATGTGAACGATGACAAAGTTGACAAAATCGAATCTTTTTGAATAGATAACGGATGCGTACCGACATTCTCCTAAATTATTATAATAATAATATTAAAATAATAATTTCGAATTATTGTTTTTTTTTTTCAAACCATTTATTATCGTATTCGAATAATTTTCACGCGAGCAATTGTCGCATATCCATAGATATCATAAATCAGCATAAATCAGGGGGGGGGGGGAGATAAATATTTTTTGGTAGAAATTAAATTATTTCTTTGAGTACCAATTGACTTCCCTAGAAAAAAAAAAAAAATGTATAATTATTAATTAACTAATAGGTATCAGCAATAGGGTTGGGTTAGGTTACGTATCTAGCCTAACCTAGCCTAACCTAACCTAACGTGTACGTATAATAAAACTGAAACGTTTAGTTTAATGTTTAGTTTCTTCGTCGCGGTTCTGTTAAAACCAATACTTTAATATCATAAATATTACTGAACAGTACCCATTACATGATAAACTAACAATTAATAATATGAAAATCACCGGCAATCGTAATTTATTTACGAATTGTGTACAAATTAATTCGAACAAACGGAGATCGACGTTTAAATCGTCCGGATCGACCGTTCCACAGCACTTGTTACGCGTTAATGTACAATTATATAAAACCGACCTCGATGTTGGTTTTCGATGCAAATCTACAATTTTATTCCAATCGCCGTGAAACTTTTCGCACTTGACATTCGAAACAAGACGAAGGTCGCTGTCTACTTTTCGTCTTCGAAATTAAACACTTGAATAGTGGCCGACAGAGTTTGTTTTTTTTTTTTTTTATATTTTCGAAACGAAAATTTACCCTTTTTTTTTTTTTTTTTTGAAAAATGAACCACGTCGGGTTACGACGCACGGCTGCGACTGGGATAAAGGCGAGTACGGGAAATACCGGGCCACTCGGCGAGTCCTATTACGGTCAAAGGCTTAAAAGCCGGCGATCATATTTTCTAACGCGGAATCGTCGACGCAACGGCGTGTACCCGCCCCGCGTACAGCCGCGTCGCGTACGCGTAACAGTACACTCGTGTGACGTACTCTCTTGCGGTCGTGTGTCGCGGGACGTGCGCGTAATCGTTTACGGTGTTATTATACGTACGCAGGTAAAGGTACCGCGTTTCCACCAATAACAATACATACACGTGTATACGTATACGCACACGCATAATCGGAGAGGATTTACGCACGACGCGAAAACAACGTCGAATCCCGGTCGAGTGTGTACATAATACAGGCGTACCCCCCCCCCCCACACACACGCACACGCACACACTACCCACCCCTCACTCCCCCCCCGTACCTGCCTGCCTACCGATATTACCCGCCCACCTCCTTCGGTACCTATACATAGCGGTTTTGTATTATCGTTATTATTATACACGTTTAATTGGCGGCCCTTCGCCGTGGAAAGGATTACGTACCTGTTCGAAAACCGTTATGCGCGCGGGTTTTTTTTATACCTGTCAAAGGGAAGAAAAAACGAGGTTTTAAAAAAATATAAAATTATACCCGTACATTTATAACACAACAATACCTATACACAGGTACGTACCGATGTATACCGCAGCGTACGTACGCGTATACGATATTATAATGGAACGAAAATTCAATCCGATCGGGCGAACCGTGATGCATTTGCCGCCCGAGTACCCGAGTGCCCGACCTACACCGCAGTCGGATTCCTCGTCGCCGCTGCGTTGATGGAAACAGACCGCCTCTATTTAGCGGCGCCGTCCGCGAGACGACAATGAGTACAATTTTTTTTTTTTTCATTTTTTTTTTCTAAATAGATCCCCCCGCGTACACCGAAAAAAAAAACGGAAATAAATAAATGGTCTTTTGTGCAATTATACGCCTTTTATACTCGCCCGCGGGAAATATTCCCAGAGGGGGGTCAACAAACCTCGCGGTATTGTTTGCGGACCAAAGGGTTAAGCTTAGGATGTATATGTATTATATTATTTAGACGCGGAAGAATAATATTTCAACGGGTTGTGCGATGCAGCGCGCATGCAGTTTGTTTGCGGAGACGAACCATTTTCGTAGTTCGGGGTGAAAAAATGAGTTGCCCCGTGAGTTCTGCTACAATTATAGAGCCGAATAGTTTTTCCATAGCCGACTTGTTGCCATCACAGCATTTCGTTTTTCGACGATATTCGTAGTTATTTTTGGCGTTTTGTTTTGTTTTTTTTTTTTCATTAGACAGTAGACGTCCGTTGACCGCGTCTACCGATCGAATGTCATCTATTCCCTTCCGGTAACATTAAGGAATTCGACAAAAGAAAAACAAAATGTTCATCGGAAATCCTCGATGCCCCGTGTATTATAGAAAATCCCATCCCCCGGGTCGCATATTTATGGGGTTTTATGGCTGAAACTCCATTACCACTCAAAAAACATGGCTAAACTCACGGCGTTGATTCGTTCGGCCCGACTTTCCCGTCGCTTCGATTTGCTTGTACCACTCTGATTCCCGAGTTCGAGCTCATTTGCTCCAGAAGGAGCCGCTAGAAACGCCCTAAAGTAACGGGAAACAGACATGTACACGCGCAACGTATACGCGTGTATTATACATATGTAAAAGGGTGGTCCTTGTTCGTAATCGAAAAAAAAAAAGTCGAATAATTTTAATCGAGCACTCGCCCGTTTCATTCGTTACTGTATGTGAAAGCAATTTTAATGAAATTTAGTGACGATAACTCAACGCCTTCGCGTACCGCAAAAAGGGTTTAGAAACGACCGAAAAAGATAGTTGTCTGCCGTTTTTCGAATTTAACGGAAAAACGATTATTTCCCTTTGCGTTAAAGCGGTCGAAATCCTAATTGTACGACACACGCACAAGATTATTAAATAAATAAATAAAGCCTACACAGTATCTCGTAAACTAATAACTTTGCGGGAAAACCAATGAGATTTGAATTTAAAATTGCGCTTTATTAATTCGGAGAAATTGATTTGTCATGATAATCAATCGTAATCGTCTCTGTTTTCGGGGAAAATTTGAAAGAAAAAAAAATGATTACCGCGCGTGAAAGCCATTGGGTATTGAACCGCGGCGTATTATTTCTGTATAATATTTACGTTTTCCGCTGCACGCGATACGAGTACACGGTCATGTGTGTCGTAAACCGCGCGCGTATTTGCTTATAATATCGGCGCGGCGTGTAAATGCGTGTCGTGCAACACATGCAACAGCGGTAAACGCGCGCGCTTGTTCAACGTGATGTAGGGTAGGTATAGGTGTGTGTGTGTGTGTGTGCGTATACGTATATAAATTTCCCGACTCGACTTTGTCGGGATAAGGTAAATATCGGACGG